GCCATTATAGGTACACTTTACTTTTAATTCCGTGACAGTATGAGCTCAGGTGATTTGTCCAAGCATGTTGCCTATGGATAGTGTACAGGTGCAAACACTGCTTTTCATGCCTGTAACGTGCCCACTGTAGGGGTTTGTACACTTTTGGGTACTCTGCAGCTTCGCTGGCTGTTGATTTATCTTTATGGATTGCCAACAGGAGCAGCAGCTTTTCTCAGGAAGATAAAGTTCTGCACATCTGGCTGATAGCAGCTGGAAGTGACCATTGAGGCATCAGTCTTCACAGGTATTCCCTGTGATCAGACCATACTTCACTTCCCCGAACTTTTGCTGTGTTACTCATAATACATATACAAATGTCCATAGTCAAATATGTGTTATTTCCTCTGTTCTTATTTCTCTATTCTCTCTCTCTCCCCCAGTTGCCTCAAGTCAATAGAAACCAATGGGTAATTGTAGTATATATCCTTACGTGCATTTTCTAGCACATTTTTTCCTTCAGCTTGGTCTTCTTTTCTAGCGCTTCCTTTAGCTGGCCATAGCTTGGTTCATAACTTTCAACACTTTGAGTACACAAGGGAGAAAGCTTATCCTCTGATTCTGTGGGTTTTGTAGGGTTTTATGAGTGCTGTGTGAGCCACAGGAGAGCTGCAGAATTCTTCTGCAGCCTTCTTATAGATAAGACATGCACACTGGGTTGAAACACAGAGCAAGGAGTGGAGCTCCGCTGCCCATTTGAAGAGTGCCATGTTATTTTCTGGTCCTCCTGCAAGTGCAACATCACACAGACAGCAGAGCCTGGCTGAAGACTGCCTTGGAGGTGAGGTCTGAGAACCTCAATTGGAGAGTGACACAGGTCAGCCTCTGCCCTGTTCTCCTGGGAGGGTTTGTCCTGCTGGCTAATGCAGCACAGAGTTCAGCGGAAGGACGACTTGATCTGCGGCTCAACTTTTTAGAAGGGTGTGAAATTCTCCCACCACCTTGTTCCTTCTTTTGCGTCATTGCTCAGCTTGCTGAGTTGCCAAAAGCAAACTATGCTAAGTGTTTGAAGGTGTAAAACTGCCCAAAACAGCTCTTCTTGCAGGGAGAAAACTATGAAAAACAGGCAGTGAAATACATCAGTGGAAACCCCAGCTGTTTTCTGGGTGGGATACAAGTGTTGCTGTCATGGATCTAACCAGCAATCCCTCTTCTGGTCCAGCAGTAGATAAAAGCAGATTCAGAGAACAGAGCGATGGTCACAAGAAACTTTTTTATTGGTAAAAATTTCCTGTCAGAAGTCTTGGCAGCTGGTAATTTCCTGATGTTGTGGTTCCAGGGAATTCAGCTTTCTGTCCATATTTATGTATCGGCAAAGGCAACTCTGGAAACTCTCAATAACCAGCTGATTGCCTAATTTCTTTTTGAATCTTGCTGAGCTCAAGGTCTTTAAGATACCTTATTACAAACTACAATTGTGTTGTGTAATAGCGTGTTTTGTTACACAACACAAATGTGTTTCCCTTCTATTTGTTGCATGTCTTTTTAATCAGAACATCCCTTGCTTTACAGAAGCAAAGGATAAATAAAAACACCCATTTACTTTCTCTGAATCATTCAGTACTTTGTATGCCAGCCAGTAAGCACCCTGACCAGGTTAAATGCTGTGTATGTGGTCTGTATAGCCCAGCTGTGTAGTATGTGTTGGTTGCAAGATGAGATCGATTTCCATTAATTTTCTCGGGAGTCTTCTTGCATGTAAAAGAGAAAATGCAAACAATTTACAAAACCAGGCACAATGGCAATGCCAAGCTTCCTTCCTAGTATAAAGTCTTTGTGAAAAAAAATGGAACCTCGGTTCTGTCTATACTATGGTAGCCCTGGAGAAAAAGAATACTCATGAGCAAGATAACCAGAGGTGGCATCTGGTCAGTGCTACCTAGATGGGTGTTTCAGGTGATTCTAGGTGCCTGTTGCTGTCTGCCACATGTCATTCATTTCCTCCTCCAAAGAAGACTGCAAGTACAGTACATTGCTATGCCTAGGAGGGGCTTTGAATGCTGCATGTGGTAAGAAATAGGAGTTTGGCGCTTGAATCAAAACCTGATGAGATTTGTGGTAGCTCTTATGTCCCACAGGATTTTATTCCCTGGTCTTATACTGTACCTCATGAAACCTCAGTCTTTTGTAGGGACTAACTTTATACTGTTTAAAGGCAAATGACGTGTGCCTAAAGAGCAAGGCTGTTGCCCTCGTATTAATGTACCAAGCCTGGCTGTGGATTGCATTGGCAGTTACAACAAGAAAGTATGAATTTAATACAGATGGAGCAGGAGCAACAGCAGGATATAGGTAGTGGTTAACTACGCTTCTGGACAGATGTTCCTTAAGATGTGCCTAGGAGTGGTTGGGATCACATGTGGCCTGATTCTGTGTGGACCACTGCTGGTGATGGTGATATAATGTGTGTTATAAAAAACCAAACCAAAACCAAACCACAACAAAGCAAACGGATGGAGTGGGGGATGTAATTGCTGGCTCCTGATCCTCTCATCTGACCGGATGCTGGCCCAGATCAGTGGGAGATCCTCCCTAAACATGGGATTTGGTGGAGGAGCTGACATTTCTCACCGATGATCCTTAATTCCTTCCTCCACAGGAAATTTGAGCCATGCTCAAATATTCTGGATTTCTTGACCTCCTTTTATGGCATAATAGTGTCTTTCGGTTGGCAGTGCCAACAACCTTAGGAATGTTCAGGTAACTCAGTGTGGATCCTTTGCTCATCACCTGCAAAGAGCAAGTCCTCAGTGCTGTGCAGGTGATTTCTTGCACACCCTGGTCCAAGTCCAGACCACACTGGGCTCCAGCAGTCTGGATTACTAGTTTCAGGCAGGGAGGTGTGGCGCTATAGCGTTTTTGTTGTTTTGCCTAGCAACAGAATATTTGGCACTGGGTGGAAGCTGGCCAGGGTTACCATAGATAGAGCGGTTTGGAGCAGTGGAGGATGTGCTTTCCCTTTGCACTCCCTTTTGTTTGTCCTGGCTCTCTTTTTGCCTTTGGGAAGAAGGCAGAGGGAAAAGGAAGATTTGGTCCCTGAATGAGGTGAGCCCTGTTCAGCCAGGAGTGGTAAGGTTTGTCCTTGGTAACTAGGGAGACCACCAGGCAAAGGCACAGAGCGGGCTTCACAAGGAGGTCTTACCACACAGGTCTTCTCACTCCAAAGAAAAAACAGGGGCAGATTAGCTGTGTTTCTCTCTGCAGGGCTTCCAGCACATGGCTGGAAACCTGGATTTGGTTAGAGGCAGCTTCTGAGAGTGACTTTTCTCCAGGAACATAGGTACAGGAAGGATACACGTAAAGGGGACACCTGGATTAGACATCGAGCTGGGATTAGTTTGGAAAAGAAGTGAAGGAAAACACCTGCTGGCCAAGGGAGAAGGTGGGATTTCTTGGCTTTGTGGGGGGATAGGTCTGTTTTTCTCTTTGTTTGTACCTGGAGGTTGCTTGTAAAACCTGTAGAGACCTGCTGAGCTGCCTTCTGCAACATAGGTAGGTGTTGGCTTACCCTGCTTCCTTTCCTGGTCTACACCTGGTGCCCCCAGGTGAGATAGGGATGTGGCATTTCCTTATCCTCCCTGTTGCCCCCAGAAGAGAAATATCAAAGAGAAAGATGCACAGGGAAAGTCAAGGAGAACATAATAATGAAGCAGCTGTACCTTAACAGGCTGCATTTTAACTGAAGCTACAGCTTGCAAGACCTGACATTGGTGGGAATGGTAAAGATGCCTGAGTTAGTCTTGCAGCAAGTGTTGCATGTGCATCTCTATACTTAATTTTACAATGGGATCTGCAGACATCTGAGCAACTTCTGGTGACCCCACCATTTTATTCACTCTGAAGCATTCCGGAACAACTTCTTCTCAAGAGAAAATACTGTGAGCTGTTCAATCTAGAGGCAAAGTAGAGTTAGTTTAAGCTAATCAGAGCTAAGTTTAGTGCTGCACATGAGTGTGGGCTCCGGTCTAATTTTAATTTGAGAATCGCTACAGTGCTGCTTGCACTCAGCTGGTAAAGCTATATGGAAAGATGATCACTGTGTTTAGTTTTTATTGTGGTAACACCTCAACTGTTAAGTTGCTATACAGAAATGTAACTAAATACCCTGCTGCATAAAAAAGGGCTGTGTGCGTTTTTGCAGTTGAATCTGAGAATGTGTCACACGGGAGAGAACGAGGTGGCTGTGCTATTTCTCATTACTACCCTTCCTGCCCTCAAAGGTTACATTATGTAGTGATTCCAGTGTATGGAAGTCTTCATCCATCTCTCTGTTCAGGGTAGGTTAGCAATGTTTTCCAGAACAAATCTGGACAGAGGGAGGATGTTGGGCTTGTCAGACCCTTTGGGGAGAGGACAGGAAGGAAACTGGTTTCCCCTTGGACATCTTCACAGGCCAGCTCCAGTGTTGGAGACAATGAGGATGCTCTAACTGAATTCTAAAGTTTTCTGTTTAAAATACTAATATCTACCCTTAAGCATGCATTCTTTGCAGACTCACAAGAGCTCCCCTTGCTGCTCCCATTGAATCCCCTGGAGTTACTCGGGAAAGTAAACAATCCTTCCTACTCACTTGGAGGACAGTCATGTTTCTGCCAATGCAGGGGTTGCTGTACTTCAGTTCGTGACTCATAAGAAATTAAAAAAAAAGGTTTGGAAAATAAACAGTGGGAGTCTTGTTCCAACACTGTTGTTTAGCTGGAAATTATCTGAAATCCAAGTTGGTTTATTGCCTTCAGTCAGCTAATTCAGGCAAATGAAATCTTTGACTTACTATGGTAAAGTCTGACTCTCAATTAACATGATGATTAAGAAGAAACTGTGTATTTCCAGTGGTCTGTCCTGCTAGGATGTTGTTTATCCCGTAGACAGACCAGAGTGCACATGGCTTTGTTAGAATCTGGAACTACCTCTGATGCTTTGCTTCTGATTTAAAATACCATCACGTCTGTGTTTACTTACAGGATGAAGAGACACAAGTGTCCCTGCAAATGTCCCTCACGAAGGAAGATCCTGATCCTGTGTGTTACGGGGTGGCTGATAGCACTGCTGAAACTCCTCCATGTTGAAAGGCACTTTCTTCCTTTTAAGGGCATTTATTTGGTTGAGCCCTTCTTAAGCACTTCTTCTTATGTTAGGAACAGGTATTCCTACCTAAGAAATGAGTTCCAGTATGAAATTAATTGCTCGTCTATATTTGAACAAGATCCCCATGAAATTGGCAAGAGTTTAGAGATAAGAAGAAAGGAGATAATAGATTTAACTGATGAAGATGTTGTCGCAATGACAAGTGCTTGCCATGTGTATCGTTCTCTTAGGAAATATGACCTAAAACCTGTTTCTCCAGAGGAGGAGAGTTTTCCAATTGCCTACTCTTTGGTTGTTCACAAAGATGCAGTAATGGTAGAAAGACTCATACATTCACTGTACAGTCATCAAAATATTTACTGCATCCATTATGACCAAAAAGCAGCAAAAAGTTTCAAATCTGCTGTGAACAATCTAGCTAAATGTTTCCCCAATATTTTCATTGCATCGAAATTGGAGACAGTGGACTATGCACATATTTCACGGCTGCAAGCTGACTTCAATTGTTTGTCTGATTTGATGGAGTCTCCAGTTCCCTGGAAGTATGTTATTAATTTGTGTGGCCAAGATTTCCCTTTGAGGTCAAATTTTGAGTTGGTGGTTGAACTGAAGAAACTCCGTGGAGGAAACATGCTGGAAACTATAAAGCCGAGCAGTAGCAAAAAAGAACGATTTACTTATCACTATGAACTTATGAAAGTGCCTTATGAATATGTGCAGATGCCTGTAAAAACCAACATTTCCAAGGATCTGCCACCTCATAATATCGAGGTATTTGTAGGCAGTGCTTATTTTGTTTTAAGCAGAGAATTTATTCAATATACTCTTAGAAGCTCTCTTGCAAAGGATTTTTTTGAGTGGTCAAGGGATACATACTCTCCAGATGAACATTTCTGGGCCACTCTTGTACGTGTTCCCGGGGTCCCTGGGGAAGTTCCAAGGTCGGCCCAGGACATAACAGACCTACAAAGCAAAACTCGTCTGGTGAAATGGAATTATCTCGAAGAACATTTGTATCCCCCCTGCACTGGTACCCACCTTCGCAGTGTCTGCATCTATGGGGCTGCAGAATTAAGATGGCTTCTGAAATATGGACACTGGTTTGCCAACAAGTTTGACTCCAAAGTGGACCCTGTCCTGGTAAAATGCTTGGCAGAAAAGCTGGCAGAACAACAGAAAGAGTGGGTATATTTGTCATCTGATAAATACTTTCTGCACATAAATTCTATGAATGCCTCGCTATAAGCAGCACTGTCTTCCCTGCTGTCAGTACTGTGTGCTGTTATGGCACAGCACATGAAGTTCCTCTGCCTTGACCTGCTGCAGATTATGGACAAGCAACATCTGTTCTGCCTGAAGTTCAGGGCCCTGGAGAGAAAGGCGCCTGGCCATTTATTTATAAAAAGTCATGCCTCTCTGATTAACTGTGTTGTAGATTGCCACAATAGTTCTGTAACTGTTCTTCAGGGTGATTCTGAGAGGGTGAGGTTTGCTTTTGGAGGCTCTGGTGCTGTCTGTCCCAGTGGAATATTTCAGAGACGTGTTTTGCATCAAGTGTGTTTGTGTTTTTCTGGGAAACTCCAACACATCTGCCTGCCTGGTTCATTTTTCTTCACTTTTGTTTTTCCTAAAGGTATGAAACAAAGACCTCTCTATCTGCTACCTCAGGAAAACTGGAAGTGCCCACCTCATGGACAAAACCAAGAGGTCAGCATGACACCAAATGAGCCATGTGCCCTTATCTGAAGTCCCAAACTTCCCATCTGTGGGAGCTAACAAAGATCTTTGCAATGCGAATATGACTGGACAATATAAGGGAAAGATCCTTAGATACCACAGTGTCCATAGTGTTGTTATCCCAGCGCATTTGTGCATTGCTTTTCCTTCTGTGAAGCATGTGCTTGGGTGCTATGCCTTGCCTATGAAACTGGTGGTGGTTGAAACAGAATTATGTGCTCTTATTCTTCAAAGGCTTTTACAAGCGTGCCCTAAGGGCAGTCACTGCATCTCCATAGAGTAGATAACCATGCCCAAGGGAGGTCAATCTTCATTTCTGTCTTTGCCCATAGAAATAGCCTCCTGTGAAATCCCAGTCATAGAATCATAGAATAGTTAGGGTTGGAAAGGACCTTCAGATCACCTAGTTCCAACCCCCCTGCCATGGGCAGGGACACCTCACACTAAACCATGTCACCCAAGGCTCTGCCCAACCTGGCCTTGAACACCACCAGGGATGGAGAATTCACAACTTCCTTGGGCAACCCATTCCAGTGCCTCACCACCCTCACAGTAAAGAACTTGTTCCTTATATCCAATCTAAACTTCCCCTGTTTAAGTTTTAACCCGTTATCCCTTGTCCTATCACTACAGTTAAGAGTCCCTAATGAAGAGTCCCTGCCCAGCATCCTTACAGGCCCCCTTCAGATACTGGAAGGCTGCTATGAGGTCTCCACGCAGACTTCTCTTCTCCAGGCTGAACAGCCCCAACTTTCTCAGCCTGTCTTCATACGGGAGGTGCTCCAGTCCCCTGATCATCCTTGTGGCCCTCCTCTGGACTTGTTCCAACACCTCCATGTCCTTTTTATGTTGAGGACACCAGAACTGCACACAATACTCCAAGTGAGGTCTCACGAGAGCAGAGTAGAGGGGCAGGATCACCTCCTTCGACCTGCTGGTCACACTCCTTTTGATACAACCCAGGATACGGTTGGCTTTCTGGGCTGCGAGTGCACACTGCAGCTGGCTCATGTTCAGTTTCTCATTGACCAACACCCCCAAGTCCTTCTCTGCAGGGCTGCTCTGAATCTCTTCTCTGCCCAACCTGTAGCTGTGCCTGGGATTGCTCTGACCCAGGTGTAGGACCTTGCACTTGTCATGGTTAAACTTCATGAGGTTGGCATCAGCCCACCTCACAAGCGTGTCGAGGTCCCTCTGGATGGCATTCCTTCCCTCCAGTGTATCAACCGAACCACACAGCTTGGTGTCATCGGCAAACTTGCTGAGGGCGCACTCAATCCCACTGTCCATGTCACCGACAAAGATGTTGAACAAGACCGGTCCCAACACCGATCTCTGAGGGACACCACTCGTTACCAGCCAGACATTGAGCCATTGACCACAACTCTTTGTGTGCAGCCGTCCAGCCAGTTCTTTATCCACCGAGTGGTCCACCTATCAAATTGATGTCTCTCCAGTTTAGAGACAAGGATGTCGTGTGGGACAGTGTTGAACGCTTTACACAAGTCCAGGTAGATGACATCAACTGCTCTACCCCGTCCATCAGTTTTGTAGCTCCATCATAGAAGGCCACCAAATTGGTCAGGCAGGATTTCCCCTTAGTGAAGCCATGCTGGCTGTCACCAACCACCTTGTTGTTTTTCATGTGCCTTAGCATGCCTTCCAGGAGAATCTGCTCCAAGATTTTGCCAGGCACAGAGGTGAGACTGACTGGTCTGTAATTCCCTGGGTCATCCGTTTTCCCCTTCTTGAAAATGGAGGTTATATTTCCCTTTTTCCAGTCATTGGGAACTTCACCTGACTGACATAGTTTTTCCAGTATGATGGCCAGTGGCTTAGCAACTTCATTCGCCAGCTCCTTCAGGACCCACAGATGGATTTCATCAGGTCCCATGGACTTGTGTACGATTAGGTTCTTAAGATGGTCTTGAACCAGATCCTCTCCTACAGTGGGTCTAAGGTCTTCATTTTCACAGTCCCTGCGTCTGCCTTCCAAGACTTGGGTGGTGTGGTCAGAGCATTTGCCAGCAAAGACTGAGGCAAAGAAGTCATGAAGAACTTCTCCAAATCCAGGGTAGTCTTCTTGAGACAGTATGTCTACACACAGTGGTTAACAAGTGATATTTCTAATTGTTGCTGCGTTAAAATGCAAAGCATGCGAAGTTAAACGGTAAGCATAAGAATAGCCGTATTGCAGAAATGAAGACCCTTTCTATCAGTGTCTTGCTATTCAAGTCTCATGGCCACCACCAGAAACCCAGGCTGACAGGTTGCTGAGCAGGCCCTGGTTCAGCTGTAGAGCAGCCGGCCTCCAACAGCCTCTGCTTCCCATGGCTCTGCCAGGCCTCCTGGTAATGGAGCAACCCAGGAGACTCCATGCAGCTGGACTCCCCATGCTACAGTGTGAGGGAAATGTTTGTTAGTGCAGGGGTCTCTGTAGAAACCCTTGCCGCTCAGAAATGCCCCTTGGCATTTTGGAAGTTTCTTTGGGATGTTGCTGTGCCACGTATTTGGTTTCAGTGTTCCCAGTGGTCCCTGGGTTACAGCCTGCTCTGTGCCACTGTCCACTTTGTACCCATCTGGGTTTTATTAAGGGGCCTCTTTCCATTAATAACTCTGGGAATCTGGTCTTATCGATTCATCAATTTGTGCAGTAACAACGATTTCTCACACCCTTGTTTCTTGTTTGAGTTAGAAGAACCAAGTAACTTTTTGGTCTCAGGCTCAGTTTCCATTCATAAATTTAGTCATGGTCATCTGTGGCTGAAGATTGGGTTTGAGAGTTGGGAGTTGTGTGCATTTTTCCTCATTCACCTCAGACAAGCCATGCAAGTTTCCTGTTTCAGCTCTTCCAGCTGTAAAATAGGAACAGCGATGTTCTGTTACATTGCTAAGCACTTCTAAACCTGTGGGTGGTGTGGGTTGGTTGCACTGTATTAATTGCTTATCAAGCTATTTATGGAGTCTGTGGAAACACAGGTCAAGTGTTTCTTTGATGTATTCTTTCTGGAATAAATGGGGATTATTTTTAAAGTACATGTTGCTTACTTCAGTGACTTGCTGTGTCTGCCCAGAGCTGTCCTGACTTGATGTGTTTTATAGATACTTTGTAGAAAATTAAATGTTGACAGTATTTACAGATTCATACATCAGTACATTAACCTTTTACCACATCCCCATGTGGTAAAAGGTTAATAGAAGGTGAAGGTAGGATTCCAGAGGGCTAAGCCACAGCCTTCTGTACACATAAATTGATATTTAATCGTACATTTATAATTTTTTATTCAGTTAAACTGGCTTAATGCGTGTATATTGTCCTGGTTTCAGCTGGGATAAAGTTAGTTTTCTTCCTGTTAGCTGCTGCAGTGCTGTGTTTTGGCTTTAGTCTGAGAACAATGCTGGTAACACACTCCTGTTTTAGTTGTTGCTAAATTACGCTTACCCTGATCAAGGACTTTCCAGTCTCTCACACTCTGCCAGTGGGGAGGGGCACAAGAAGCCGGGAGAAAGCAAAGACCTGACCCAAACTAGCCAAAGGGGTATTCCATACCACAGCATGTCATGCCCAGTAAAGAAACTGGGGGGAGTCACCTGAAATGGATTGATTGCTGCTTGGGTATGATATATGTAGGCACATTCCCATTTGTGTTTGAGAGGTTTGCTCTGCCATAAACATAAAAATTACCCATCAGCCCATTAAACTTAACTGAAATAAATAATTTTAATCAGTATACAACTTAACTGAATTGGGTTAAATGATACTTGTAATTTAACTAGTTTGAAATAAGGCAGCTTATGCTTCCAAAGTCGTGAAGAAGTGAATGTGGAGTTGGCACCGTATGGGACAGCATCACCCATTACAATGGCACGTTTGGTAGCTGGGGAAATACTAATTGCATAGGCACAGTTGCAACTTTATGAAGTGCTTATTTTCTAATGAATAATAGGATTTCTGGGTTTTGAAGGTAATGTTAAAGACTATTCAAGCCTGTAGAAAGGCAATTAACAAAAATCATAGATCACTGAGGCTGGAAGATCATCTAACTGAACCTCCCACTTACAACAGGATTCACAGTAAACTTTGGCTGGGTTTCTTGGGCTTTGTCCCAGGGAGTCTTGCAGATCTCTAAGGAGGATTATGCTGCAGCGTTCTGCAGAAACATTTTCCAAAGAGTCCAGGAAAAGAAGCAGCCAAATCATAAGTTCCTTAACTTTTGAGTGATTTTATCTTTTTCTGTCTTTGTGTCCAGCAGTGCAGATGCCATACTGATGTCTGCATGATACTGAAGCGATTAGGCTACAGGGGTGGGTAACAATTTCATTTTATAGCTTTGACTTCTTCACCTTTGATCTTTACACAGGTAGGTCTTTCTTTGCTGAAAATGGACCTGTGGCATGATCCACAAACCCCTTTCCCTCTGTGAGAAAAGTAGCTGAACACAATTTATAGCAAAGCAAATGCACAGTTGTATTTAGGCTGGAACTTAGATTATAGTTATCTGCCATTCTGCTTTTACACAGATTTTTTTTTCTTTTCCTTACTAAAGTTCAGACATGCCTTTCTTCCCCTCCTCTTCCCATTCCTCACTTCTGAAAAAGCAGCTTACCTCTTCTAAGCTATTTTACAAATTTGAAATGTACATACATTTGCACATATTGGATGGTTTCCACTGGCTTTGTTTAGCTGAAGAAGCCCCATGCTGGCTTTCTTCCATCCATCCTGCCCTGTGCTGGCTGTATGGAGCATTTGGACTATCCATTAACCTTATTTTCCTGCTCAGGAAGAATGTGTGGGCAGGGTGTCGGTGGTGTTCCTGGCTGTCAGCTCTTGTGCAAAGGTCCAGCACACCGTTCTGTTGATGGCGGATGTCGTGGGTTCAGCAGAAAACAAAAAACAGCGGAAAACAGTAGAAACATTGAATGCATTCTGGCACAGCAACATCAAGTAGGGAATTAAAGGACATAGTGAGCTTTTATGAAAGAGATGCAGAGACAACATACGTAGAACTTGTCTAGCTGATGACTTTATTAGGCTGGACGTGTAGTCAGGAGGATAGTAT